GAGTCTGTCTGTCTGCCACCCTTCACCATTGGTGTTAAGGGTACTGCGAGGTTACAAAGCCCATCACCATACTGAATCACTCAACCAAAAGCGGGCTTGGATGCTGCCTAATGCAATAATGGTAATTTCATCACTTTCGCACCTCTGGCACCGACCACAACTGAACAGAACTCGGTACGAAGGACTCCAGTAGGTAACCACTTTACATGTCACAATGCAATGTAATTTCTCCCACCACAGCGTGTCCTAAAAAAATCTGGTCCTTTCAGTAGTGGGGTTCCGCAGTATATGTTTTCTTATAAACAAAAAATCTTCCATTATTTGCAATGCGTCCAAATGTGGCCCTTTTACAGCTTGTATTGTTGTCGATACGCGAGGCAATCGAGACAACGCAAAAAATACGAAGCAAATTCTGGAACACGCAATCCATGGGCACAATAATCGTTGCGCATTCCAATACAGCGGTCCCTCTGGTTTACCGTCGTTTAATCCGTTTCATGAAAAACGACAGTGAAACGACATAACTGTTTAAATAGAATTCACTTATGAGTTGAAAAATAAGTTTTAAAAAATCACCGAGTCCGCTTGAGAGAGCTATTTTTTCCACTGCTCTAAAACAGAGACCCGAATGTGAACGATGCCAGTCTAAGTCTCAACGCTCACAAATGGCGCGTGGCTCAGCAGCACTTAATAAGCGCTCAGATTGGTCTATACTGGCGTTCCGCGTGCACAACGGAAACACAGAGTTACCGTTCATCAAAATTTGTAACATCAAGTCGAAACCATGGGGGTCCTATGGGATACGAAACGTCAACCGCAAAAAAAATTCTTAACCGATGTAACCATTAACCGAGGGACTGCTGCACTCAACTGGGACAGCATGTCACGTGGCGTGCCTGCAGCAATGTGGAAACAACCAAGATAACAAGCACAGTCTGCATTGATCCACATTGGTTTTTTTTAGGGTAGGCCCTCGTGTTGGTTATATATGCAATTGTGTTTGCTCCGAGCATAGCAGTGCCATTACATTGTATTTTCGTGCCACTGGTGAGCTGGGGACACACCAGTGCCACGAAAATAGTTGGTTTACCCTCCAACACACACACACACACCAGTTAGTGCTAAGTAACTAATTGGCACATTTTGTTTACGTGACAACCCCTTACTGATTGTAAATGTTATTGTGGGTTTACTCTCCAACACAGACACCGGTTAGTGCTGAACTCAGCAACTAATCACAGGGTGAGTTGAAGCACGCGATGTTTACTCACCGGCGTAACTGTTGTGGTTGTTATCTGAGAGAGAAAGAAAAAAACAAACATGCTCATGAGAATCATCATTTATTATTTGTGCCACACCACACAGAGCGGGATTGACAAACAAGCGCCACTGTGGTACTGTATTATGGTTCAATTTCTATGCTCCCTACCTTCACCAACTGGGACCGACCAGCGTGGTGAAGTGTAGTCATCTAGCTCCCATGACCCATAAGGCATGGCGAGACCCTCTTCCAGCGTTATATATAGATATGTTACAATCTTAGTTCTTTCGGTAAAGTCACGTGACTTTACCGAAAGAACTAAGAATATGAATTTCTGCAGTCACGAAAGCTTAAAATAAAAATTTATAGATATGTTACCAAGGCCATAGCCATAGAGTCAACATTGGGGGGCACCAAATCTTTCAGGGAGTCTGGGGGTCCCCCCCCCCAGAAAAAAAATCTAAATTTGAAAACAAATTTCCTGGCTAAAATATTAAAAAAAATTCACTAACACATAAGATGGACTTTTTTTATTTACAAACACATTCCTGCAGAGGGAGCTGGTAGGAACGTTGGGTTGCTCGGTCAATGGCCAGGGTCAACGGCGGCACCACGTGGTGTATTCCGCAAATATGCCCGACTGTGAGGGCGAGCACAAGCCGGCGTGAGTAGGTTAAACGTTGAGTTTTATAAGGGCACCACGGGGTGACCAGCCCCTCCCCACCCTCCCCACCCAGCCACTCCCCACCCTCCCATCTCCACCCAGCCCCACCCCTCCCATTTTTGGATGCACGACGGACGGACACAATAATCCCCTGTGGGCTGGTGGTGTAACCAGGAGGTTCCTACACAGTATAATGTCTAATAGTGTATTGTATTACATTGCTCTTTTTAATCTTTTTTTTTATCTTTTCTTGTTTCATTGTATGTAATGGCAGAGATTAAGTATTAATAAAGTACAACCATGACCACAATCATATAAACAGAAATATTTTTATAGCAATATATTGGGGGGACATTTTGAGCATATTTGAATATTGGGGGGGGAGGGATGCGTCCCTCCCCCCCCAATATATGTTATAATTACGGCCTTGTATGTTACATACATATATAGATGCACTTCTGCGGCCGTCTGAAAAGCTCGTCCTTCCCAAATTAGGAAGCCAATGGGAGCTATGCACTTTTAAATCATCAGCTAGATTGAAAATTCACGTCTTTAGAACTGCTTTTTGTGTTTAGCTTGTTCTTCTCCCGCAGCTCCGATTAGCGGGGTTGGCTAAGTATGGTACGAAAGAAGTCCAATATACATATGTACATAGACTCACACAGACACATAGAGTCACACAGAGACCCATAGAATCACACATAGGTTGGCTGCGTACGGTGTGAATGAAGTTCAACATACACACTTACATATAGTTGCAGGACTCGAATCATTAATGTCATTCAGAGTCGAGTTGGGCTCACTTTTGGCAGAACAAACCAAGGAAGCTGTATTTGATGAGCTATATATGACGAGTATAACCTGTAATACATGTAATAAATAATGTAATTGCCCGTCATATGACGGGTTCATAAAAAAACATTTAATGAAAAAGACGAAAAATTTAAGATAGTATTTAATTTATTTAAACAAAAGTTTCTGTATATATGTCATTTTGGTGTAAATGGACGATCATCTACGAAAAAGTTTTCCTTGAGATGTATTTTGTTGAATCGGCACTTTTATGTTGTTTGGAATTTTTGCATCTTGACAAAGCAGCATAGTAATAATGATAAAGTTGTTCAACGAAATAAAACCAGAGTCATTAGTTGAGATAAAGTCCAACGTAGTACTCAAAACCTTGTCCTTGTGACTTATTGACAGCGATATCAAATATCAGGAATTATTGGAAAGCCGTCTTCACTTCAGAATGCCTGGTAAATTCACATCAGACGGTGCCAGATCAATTGCTGGGAATGAAGACAATATCTCCACGATTGGATTCTGAAATTGTTTCAGTCACAACACGAACAATTACGGTGCAATCTTGATTTGAAGCTTTCGTGACTGCAGGAATCCATACTCTTTGGTTCTTCCGGTAAAGTCACGTGGTAGGTAGAAAAAAATAGATCACAGCATTTCGATTGCAACACAAGCGACCGTTTTCACCTGAAGACGGTTTTGACCTGAAGACCGTTTTCACCTGAAGACGGTTTTCACCTGAAGACGGTTGCTTGTGTTGCGATCGAAACTTCGTGATCTATTATTTGTTCTACTTACGTGACTTTACCGGAAGAACCAAAGAGTATAATGACGGTGCATTTCACGAATCACCAGACTCACGTGTGTGCCATTGCACATATTCCCTTCTTTGGGGTTTTAGATTTCGAATCGGCATTTACAATGGGTTCCTTTTTGTCAAAACCAATTTCACGAGGTGGCATTCCAGATGGTGTGAGCAGCGAGGTTGCAGAAATTCTCTCTTGTCGTCACTCCGACCAACCCAACTGCGTTTCTCCGCACATGCGCTCATATCCTCTCGCTCATTAAGAGACATCAGGTGGCCCTCGTTGGGCTGTCGCTCACGAGGCGCCTACACCGTGTGTGTAACGTTTGCAGCCAGCCAATCACGGCTATGCATCTTAATTGGTCGCCTCTCTTTGTCTGCACCTGTTTAGCCTGACGTGACCTCACTGTCCGCGGCTCACACATGCTGTGAAAACTGTTTGCAACACCACCCCCGCCTCCCCGCGCACGTTACTCCACTGCACATCTACCCCTCTGTTTAAGGAACGAAACAGGATATTTTCTTCACAAATCTGGCTGTTGCCTGATGAGGCTAGCAGTAATAACTGGCGAAACGTCGTGCTAAATTGTAAATGTCGTGGCTTTTCTCTCCACAACACCGGTGTGCTATACTAGTAACGAATTGGCATACTCTGTTTAGATGACAAACCTTATTAAGTGGCTGCATTGGGTCGTGGCGGGTTTAACGACACACATTTACCCGATCTAACACTAAAAACCTGTTTTATGTATGATACTGATAGTTAAAGCCTACGTCTTAAAGCGTCATATAATAAAATATCATGGCACAATACATCCTGCATCTTTTAATATTCGTAATACTACTCTTACAAACGATAATATTGTGAAAAAAACACTGACACAGGTTGTACTTGGAGCCTTTTCTTGATCAGACACAGCACCAACACTTCGGCTCCGCTTCTTTCTTGAATTTTGAAGCTCCTACTCCCCTTGTGATCTCCCCTTTTATCCCTTCCGAGCCCCTTCTCTCGAAGCTTCTCTCACTCCACTCCTTTCAGCTAACCCTCTTGCTTCTCCCTCAACGGTTGTCAACCGTCACCTCAAACGCTCAACCTTCGCTTCTTTAAACCTCGCCTCCCGGCCAATCACTATAGAGGCCTCACTGCACCAACAGGAGGCCTTGGCCTAACTTCCTGGTGGGCTTTTGCCTGCAACGTTTACTTCTGGTGAGCGGTCTAGAATTACTGGCATTACAATATTTTTTTTTATATTGCACTCCCGATATAAAATAAGAAAAATGTTAACATGCAAGTGGTGAACCCAATCATAATCATACGAGAAAAAATATGGTTACATGAAAAAATGTGAATCATGAAGACAAAAACAAGATTCAAAATGGATATTAAACATATTTGTCCTTAAGATGGTGGTCGTGAGGCAGTGTAGTGGCTTCCTGCACTGCACTGTGCACTCACAGCTAACATCAGTGGTGAGTAATAACTTAACCAGGCCTGGGTTCCCTTCACAAACTTGCACTGACCATCGTGGCGAAATATAGTAAAAAAAAAAACTCCCATCGTGTACATGGGATGAGGAGCCCTTAAACCAGCCGTGGATTGACACGGCTGTAAGTAAAACAACGTGTCAAGAGTGTTAAAGCGACTCGACGATTTCACGGTCTCAGCAAAATGCCCTGGAGCCACCGACTAGCAAGATAGGGAGTTAGGTTCTGGTTCATGATGTATGGCGCTGTTGGAAAAAAACAAGGCAGATTACATTGAACGTATTTGTATAATTTATTAACTGAACGTGTCATCACAATCTTCATCTCAGATGTATAATCTATAAATGTAAACAGCTTTTTTTTTAAATTCATCTACTACTTCATTGCAGCCTCGCATACCGTTCGGACAATATGATTGAATTCACCATACTGTATTACATCACATATCTAGAAATGTATGTTGAACTTCTTTCGCACCGTACATAGCCAACGATGCTCATCGGAGGTGCGGGGAAAGGACAACAAACTATGGGTCTCTTTGGGAGTCTATGGGTCTCTGTGTGAGTCTATGGGTCTCTGTGTCAGACTATGGGTCTCTGTGTGAGTCTATGGGTCTCTGCTGCACTACCCTCTTGAGAAGGCCCATCTCCGATAACTGTTATTCATTAAAGCTTATGGCAAAATGAGCACGTGGAAAAATTTTTCTGGTTATTTTGATGTTCTATTTATGGGTCTCTGTGTGAGTCTATGGGTCTCTGTGTGAGTCTATGGATCTCTGTGTGAGTCTATGGTTATCTGTGTGAGTCTATGGGTCACTGTGTGAGCCTATGGATCTCCTCTGTGTGAGTATATAGGTCTCTGTGTGAGTCTATGGATGGGTCTCTGTGTCAGTCTATGCGTCTCTGTGTGAGTCTATGGGTCCCTGTGTCAGCCTGTGGGTCTCTGTGTGAGTCTACGTATGTAAGTATTTTGAATTATTTCGCACCGTACATAGCCAACAATGCTGTTAACAGTAGTGTGGGTGGAGGACAACAAACTAAAGACAAAAATCACGCTGGTCAGTGATGGTTTGTGAAGGCAGGGAGTATATATGTTTTAGCAGATTACAGTACAATGGATTTTGCTGCACTACCCTCTTGAGAAGGCCCATCTCGGATAACGGTTATTCATAAAAGCTTATGGCAAAATGAGCACGTGGAAAAATTGTTCTGGTTATTTTGATGTTCTATCTCATATCTCTCTCAATTCCCTTCATCACTCCGTGAGTGCCTATGCAAGGAGAAGCCCCATCCCCACCACCAGCAGCTGCATGGGCAGGGACACGTGGGAAGTCGGTGCAGACGACAACTTCTGTGGATAAACAGAAAGCACCACGAGGCGGGGGGGGGATTAAACTATCATCATAACGCTCGTCACCTTCATCAGCTCCGTCATCCACAGCCTCTGCATGGCGCTTGCATCACCGCCACCAGCAGCAGCCGCTACATTCCCACTGACGGCAGATTCCAGCTATGAAGTGTGCAGGCAGCACGGCTGCACTGGCGATTGTAGGCCAGAGGAGCCCCAAGAGCTGGGTTTTACAAACAGGGGTGGACATTTAATAAGGCGTCCCCCATGTGTCATTTCATGCACCAAAGCTCGTTCAAAGCCATGCCGTGCCATTTGCATACCTGTACACCCCTTATCAGTGCCTACGTATTACAGAGCAATTCAGACCTTATTGGTCACCCCGTGCCCTTCTAAATCTCATAGGTTCGATCCCAACCCTGATGCCTATATATTTGGAGTTTGCATGTCTCTCTTGCTGTGGTCGCGTGGATTTTTTTAAGGGTCGTCCGGTTTTGCCCTCCACATTTAGAAACATGGATTGAGATTATTGAGTATTTGACTGCTATACATTTCCACGTGATAAGCCACTTTACCAATAATCCATGATAGGCAGGTCGCTTCTGAAAGAAGAGTTATGTAGCCCAGGTAACCTTACCTGGTAAAAAAATGATAACATGTTTTCTTATTAAACCTCCCTTATTTCCAAAAAGGCCAAATTTGGCCAAGCCTTGTAGTATTGTCGATGTAAAAGGCAGTCGACAGCACACGGGTAGGACACCACACACCGCCACCACCCTAAGATTGTGATTGCATAAACACGTGGATGATTCGCATTCTAATGTATGTAACGCGTCATGTCATGCACCGAATGTACAATGCGTGGATTATAGCAGCTCAGAAAAAAACACTGGGCAAGTTGAACCGTGCAACGTTACTCACCGGCCGAACTGTTGTGGCTGTTGTCTGAGAAATAAACAAAACCCATCAGAATCATCGCTTATCACGGGTGTATCCCTTCATTTGTTTACATGACAAACCTTGCTAATTTAGCAGCCTGAGAAACGACTTGTTTGAGGGCGCTTTAGAATTTCTAATTGTTAATTACGAAAGGGATGCGTTCTTCAAAGCGCACACGTCAAAACAAAATGTCAATCGCAATGGCTTTTTTCCATTGAAAGACATACACAATGTCAATGAGAATGACTTTACCCATTGACAAACAGACCAAATGTCAATCGGAATGGCTTTTCCCATTAACAGAAAAACGAAATGTCAATCGGAATGGCCTTTCCCATTGACATACAGACGAATTTTCAACCGGAATGGCTTTTCCCATTGACATACAGACGAATTTCAATCGGAATTGCTTTTCCCATTAACAAACAAAGACCATATATGCAACTGTGTTTGCTCCGAGCATAGCAGTACCATAGGCTGTATTCTTGTGGCACTGGTGAACTGGGAGCATACCAGGGGCACACCAGTGCCACGAAAATAAAATTTTCACGAAAATACAATGCAAAACCAGGGTTGTTGCCTGATGAAGCTGGTTGTTATAATTACCGGCAAAATGTCACGGTACTGGAATTGTAAACGTTGTAGTGGGTTCACTCTCCAACACAAACACACACCAGTTAGTGCTGAACTCAGTAACTCATCACAGGGTGAGTTGAAGCACGCGACGTTTACTCACCGGCGTAACTGTTTTGGTTGTTATCTGAGAGAGAAATAAAAAACAAACATACTCATGAAAATCATCATTTATTATTTTTGCCACACCACACAGAGCGGGATCAACGACAAGAGCCACTCTGGTACTGTGTTATGGTTCAATTTCTATGCTCCCTACCTTCACCAACTGGCACTGACCAGCGTGGTGAAGTGTAGTCAACTAACTCCCATGACCCATAAGGCATAGGGAGACCCTCTTCCAGCATTATATATATTACATATGTAGTGACATCGCTGGATGTCACCATGCTGTGGGTGCAGTGCCGGCCCTACCGGACACGGTGTGTGGGTGCCGACCTCTGGGGAAGGTCGTGTGAGGAAATGGAACTCTGGTTGACCCAGGAGGACACGTGACCGGTTAAGATGACAGGGGGGCCCCCAAGAGGGAGCTGGGGGGGTCACGTGATTAGGACCCAGGTCCCTCCCGATGGTTCTGGAAGGGGGACGTGGCCAAGGGCGGAGCCGGCCACGCCGCAGAGAATATAAGCCGAGTACTGAGAGGGATCTGGGTTGTTCATCCCAGGAAAGAAACCCTTCGTCTACGATCTCCGTCCTACGATTCTTTCAGCACTTGGACCCGGGCAGATGCTGTTGGTCCCGGGTAAAGTTACGTGGTAACTAGCGTAGTTAGCCGGATGGTCACCACCCAAGGTTGTTATTGTGTTAAGGGGAAGTGTACCCCGTGTGTTGGAACTAAATAAATGCGATGCCTCCAAAGTCTACGTCTGCGACTCAGTTGAACCCACTACACGTACAGATATTACACTTATATAGATGCGCTTCTGCGGCCGTCTGATACGCTCTTACTTCCCAAATTAGGAAGCCACTGGGAGCGATGCACTTTTAAATCATCATCTAGATTGAAAATTAACGTCTTTAAAACTGATTTTTGTGTTTAACTTGTTCTTCTCCCACACCTCCGATTAGCGCGGTTGGCTAAGTATGGTATGAAAGAAGTCCAATAAACATATGTACATAGACTCACATCGAGACCCATAGATTCACATAGATACCCATAGACTCACACAGAGACCCATAGTTTGTTGTCCTTTCCCCGCACCTACAATTAGCATGGTTGGCTGCTTAAGGTGCGTAATAAGTTCAACATACATAAATAGACTTACACCGAGACCCATAGACTCACACAGAGACCCATAGTTTGTTGTCCTTCCCCACAACATACACACTTACATATAGTTACACGACTCGAATTATTATTATCATTCAGAGTCGAGTTGGGCTCACTCTTGCCAGAGCAAACCAAGGAAGCTGTATTTGATGAGCTATGTATGACGAGTATAACCTGTAATATATAATAACTAATGTAATTGCCCATCATATGATGGGTTCATGCAATTTTAATTAAATGAAAACTTCGAAAAATTCAATATAGTATTGAATTTATTTAAGAAAACGTTCCTGTATATATGTTTCATTTGGTGTAAATGAACGATCATCTCCGAAAAAGTTTTCCTTGAGATGAATTTTGTTGAATCGGCACTTTGATGTTGGCTGTAATTTTTTGCATCTTGACAAAGCAGCATAGTAATAACAATAAAGTTGTCCATGGAAATAAAACCAGCTTCGTTGGTTGAGAAAAAGTCCAACGTAGTACTCAAAACCTTGTCCTTGTGACTTATTGACCGCGATAGCAAATAGCAGGAATTATTGGGAAGCCGTCTTCGCTTCAGATTGCCTGGTAAATTCATGTCAGATGGTGCCAGATCAATTGTTGTGAATGAAGACAATCTCTCCACGATTCAATTCTGAAATTGTTTCAACCACAACACAAAGAATTACGGTGAATTTTCACGAATCACCAGACACACGTGTGTGCCATTGCACATAATCCCTTTTTTGGAGATTTAGATTTGTAATCCGCATTCTCACGGATTTCCGTTTGTCAATGGCTTTTCCCATTGACAGACAAACAAATGTCAGTCAGAATTGCTTTTTCCATTGACAGACAGACGAAATGTCAATCAGAATGGCTTTTCTTATTCACAGAAAGACGAAATGTCAATCGCGTTGTCTCGATACGCGAGGCAATCGAGACAACGCAAACAATACGAAGCAAATTCTGGAACACGTAATCCATGGGCACAATCATCGTTGCGCATTCCAATACAGTTTTAAAAAATCACCGAGTCCGCTTGAGAGAGCTATTTTTTCCACTGCCCTAAAACAGAGACCCGAATGTGAACGATGCCAGTCTAAGTCTCAACGCTCACAAATGACGCGTGGCTCAGCAGCACTTAACAAGCGCTCAGATTGGTCTATACTGGCGTTCCGCGTGCACAACGGAAACACAGAGTCACCGTTCATCAAAATTTGTAACATCAAGTCGAAACCATGGGGGTCCTATGGGACACGAAACGTTAACCGCAAAAAAAATTGTTAACCGATGTAACCATTAACCGAGGGACTGCTGCACTCAACTGGGACAGCATGTCACGTGGCGTGCCTGCAGCAATGTGGAAACAACCAAGAAAACAAGCACAGTCTGCATTGATCCACATTTTTTTTTAGGGTAGGCCCTCGTGTTGGTTATATATGCAATTGTGTTTGCTCCGAGCATAGCAGTGCCATTACATTGTATTTTCGTGGCACTGGTGAGCTGGGGACACACCAGTGCCACGAAAATAGTGGGTTTACCCTCCAACACACACACACACACACCAGTTAGTGCTATCTAAGTAACTAATTGGCACATTTTGTTTACGTGACAACCCCTTACTGATTGTAAATGTTATTGTGGGTTTACTCTCCAACACAGACACCGGTTAGTGCTGAACTCAGCAACTAATCACAGGGTGAGTTGAAGCACGCGATGTTTACTCACCGGCGTAACTGTTGTGGTAGTTATCTGAGAGAGAAAGAAAAAAACAAACATGCTCATGAGAATCATCATTTATTATTTGTGCCACACCACACTGAGCGGGATTGACAAACAAGCGCCACTGTGGTACTGCATTATGGTTCAATTTCTATGCTCCCTACCTTCACCAACTGGCACTGACCAGCGTGGTGAAGTGTAGTCATCTAACTCCCATGACCCATAAGGCATGGCGAGACCCTCTTCCAGCGTTATATATATATACAGATATGTTATAATCTTAGTTCTTTCGGTAAAGTCACGTGACTTTACCGAAAGAACTAAGATTATGAATTACTGCAGTCACGAAAGCTTTAAATAAAAATGTATAGATATGTTACCAAGGCCGTAGCCATAGAGTCAACATTGGGGGGGACCAAATCTTTCAGGGAGTCTGGGGGTGCCCCCCCCCCAGAAAAAAATCAAAAATTGAAAACAAATTTCCTGGCTAAAATATTAAAAAATTCACTAACACCTAAGATGGACTTTTTTTTACAAACACATTCCTGCGGAGGGAGCTGGTAGGAACGTTGGGTTGCTCGGTCAATGGCCAGGGTCAACGGTGGCACCACGTGGTGTATTCCGCAAATATGCCCGACTGTGAGGGCGAGCACAAGCCGGCGTGAGTAGGTTAAACGTTGAGTTTTACAAGGGCACCACGGGGTGACCAGCCCCTCCCCACCCTCCCCACCCAGCCACTCCACACCCTCCCATCTCCACCCAGCCCCACCCCTCCCATTTTTGGAGGCACGACGGACGGACACAATAATCCCCTGTGGGCTGGTGGTGTAACCAGGAGGTTCCTACACAGTATAATGTCTAATAGTGTATTGTATTACATTGCTCTTTTTAATCTTTTTTTATCTTTTCTTGTTTCATTGTATGTAATGGCAGAGATTAAGTATTAATAAAGTACAACCATGACCACAATCATATAAACAGAAATATTTTTATAGCAATATATTGGGGGGGACATTTTGAGCATAATTGAATATTGGGGGGGGGGGGATGCGTCCCCCCCCCCCAATATATATTATAATTACGGCCTTGTATGTTACATACATATATAGATGCACTTCTGCGGCCGTCTGAAAAGCTCGTCCTTCCCAAATTAGGAAGCCAATGGGAGCTATGCACTTTTAAATCATCATCTAGATTGAAAATTCACGTCTTTAGAACTGATTTTTGTGTTTAGCTTGTTCTCTTCCCGCAGCTCCGATTAGCGGGGTTGGCTAAGTATGGTGCGAAAGAAGTCCAATATACATATGTACATAGACTCACACAGACACATAGAGTCACACAGAGACCCATATAATCACACATAGGTTGGCTGCGTATGGTGTGAAAGAAGTTCAACATACACTCTTACATATAGTTGCAGGACTCGAATCATTATTGTCATTCAGAGTCGAGTTGGGCTCACTTTTGGCAGAACAAACCAAGGAAGCTGTATTTGATGAGCTATATATGACGAGTATAACCTGTAATGTATATAATAAATAATGTAATTGCCCGTCATATGACGGGTTCATAAAAACATTTTAATGAAAAAGACGAAAAATTTAAGATAGTATTTAATTTATTTAAACAAACATTTCTGTATATATGTCATTTTGGTGTAAATGGACGATCATCTACGAAAACGTTTCCCTTGAGATGTATTTTGTTGAATCGGCACTTTGATGTTGTTTGGAATTTTTGCATCTTGACAAAGCAGCATAGTAATAATGATAAAGTTGTCCAACGAAATAAAACCAGAGTCATTAGTTGAGATAAAGTCCAACGTAGTACTCAAAACCTTGTCCTTGTGACTTATTGACAGCGATATCAAATAGCAGGAATTATTGGAAAGCCGTCTTCACTTCAGAATGCCTGGTAAATTCACATCAGACGGTGCCAGATCAATTGCTGGGAATGAAGACAATATCTCCACGATTGGATTCTGAAATTGTTTCAGTCACAACACGAACAATTACGGTGCAATCTTGATTTGAAGCTTTCGTGACTGCAGGAATCCATACTCTTTGGTTCTTTCGGTAAAGTCACGTGGTAGGTAGAAAAAAATAGATCACGGCGTTTCGATTGCAACACAAGCGACCGTTTTCACCTGAAGACGGTTTTCACCTGAAGACGGTTTTCACGTGAAGACGGTTTTTCACCTGAAGACGGTTTTCACCTGAAGACGGTTTTCACCTGAAGACGGTTGCTTGTGTTGCGATCGAAACTTCGTGATCTATTATTTTTTCTACGTACGGGACTTTACCGGAAGAACCAAAGAGTATAATGACGGTGCATTTCACGAATCACCAGACTCACGTGTGTGCCATTGCACATATTCCCTTCTTTGGGGTTTTAGATTTCGAATCGGCATTTACAATGGGTTCCTTTTTGTCAAAACCAATTTCACGAGGTGGCATTCCAGATGGTGTGAGCAGCGAGGTTGCAGAAATTCTACTGAATAATAATTTGTGATCCACGTAGCCTAGCCAGCAGCGTTACACACAGTGGCATTAGAGAGTGTCGGGCGTTAGGCACAGATCACCCAAACTATTTGTCTAAATTTATTTTGAGAAAATGTATGAATAATTAGTTACAATTTTATTAATAAGCCTTTTTAATGAAAAAAATATTTAAAATTGCATGAAAATCCACTTAGCCGAGCCAGCATTACCCACAGCGTTTACAGAGTGTCGGGTGTTAGGCATAGATAACCAAAACTATATGGATAATAAATCAAACCAATCTGTAACCATTTTTTTGCGTTTTGATATATTTATCCATTTTCTTCCCAATTCACTATATCTGTGAGTTGACATTTTGGAATAGTTTCATATTCATATTATTAATGGAAATCAAATAAAAAAATCCTGGCAAATGTGAACTACACTTTTGCGAGGCAAAGCCTTAAGGAAAATTTCGGGTCATGCATCAAAAGGAGCTTCAATGCAAGCTGCAACCTGCAATAAGATCCGCTGCACGTCCCTAAGCACGGGAGTCACTCGCAGCCTGTCAACACGCTAAGCACTCCTACGAACTACGTGATTTAAACACGTGCAAAAATAGGTCCACTCGTGACCATAAAAAACAGGACCTCCCGTCATACATTGCAGGTCACTTGACATCAAATGATTACCGCGGATATAATTAAGAACGGCCATGTTAGTTGAACACGTATGCTTTTGCGACCAATGTTATCCATAATAGAGGTTTATGGGTTAGATCTCATGAATATAAATGTGTCATTAACCCCCCCCCCAACACCCGACACAGCCAATTAGTAAGGTTTGTCACGTAAACCAAACATAGCAGTTCGTTACGACTACAGCACACCGGTGTGTTGGAGAGTAAACCCACTAAAGCATTTACAATTCGAGTACCGTGACATTTTGCCAGTAATTACAACAACAACAACAACCAGCATCATCAGGCGATAGCCAGATTATTTGATAAATCCTCCTCCTGTTTCGGTCTTGTTGTCACCTGTGAGCCAATCAGGTGCGAACATCAATGGTCATCTCTGGAAAGAAAACATAATCTGCTGCCTGGAACAAGAGGATTTCTCCACAAATCTGGCTGTCACCTGATGATACTTGTTGCAATTACAAGGTGAAATGTCACGGCTCTAAAATTGTCAATGTTTTAGTGAGCTTACTCTTCCACACACCGATATGCTGTACTAGTAACGAATTAGCATGTTTTGTTTGCATGACAAAACTTACTAATTGGCTGTGGCGGGTTTAACGTTGATTTTTCTCCGGGTCCTCCGGTCTTTCCCTCCAGATTTAGAACGAACGTTACGCGTTTAGAGTATTTGTTTGCTATAAATGTCTGCGTGATAAGCCACCACTTCGTTGAGCTATCATTCGTGGTCGCTTCTGAAAAAAAGCTACATAGCTCAGTGGGGCCTTACCTGGTAAAATAAAAAAAAATATTGTTTTAAAATAGTTCTTAGTCTAATAGGAGTTATGCATGATCAGTTGCCGCATGCACTTTTGTGCGGGGAGACTACCATCGGCCTCGGAAAGTGCCGGACATGTAGTGTCTGTGCGCAACGCGATGGTGCTCACGTCGTTGGGAAACTGGATGTCAGTCGTGGAGGAGATCCAGCGCTTGAATGCGGACACGCGCGTGAACACGGACGGCTTCATCGAGGTGTTACAGACATCCGAGCCGAAGCTGGTGATGCCGTAGACCATCCACTTCGCGTCCTCCTGACAGTTGAGCGGCCCTCCCGAGTCGCCCTGGGGTAACCATTTAAGCACACGGGATTGTGTTAGGTCATTTTTTTTACCGTCCGAAATCTTGCACTCTGACACGTATGTTTGAGAACAAGTCGAAAGGATGGGATGCTGGCATTAAATGCTGCGATGTGATTTGCGATCCAATGCGAAAATTACAAACCAACAAAGTGTGACGGCACCCCAACACACAGTATGCATATGAACACATCACCTTTACTCCTCTATTTAAGACCTGAAGACAGAAAGACGTCTTTACAATTCTGGCAAAGTCGCATGACGAGGCTGGCTATTGTTGTTGCAGTCACCAGAGAAACGTCGCGGTACTCGAACTGTAAATGCTGTCGATTTACTCTCCAACACACAACTGGTGTGCTGAAGAAGTAACCAATCGGTACGTTTTGTTTAAGTGACAAACCCTTACGAATTGGGCTGTGTGTCGGGGTGGTGGCGTGTTTAAATACGCATTTATATGTACGGGATCTAACCCACACAAAAACGTTATTATAAGTAAGCACATTTTATTTAAATGGGGGAAGCAGGTATTGGTGTCTAAGCGAGTATGTGATTCTTCGTGTGAGTCTTGTGGTTATGCAATTTCACTGTTCCCCCGCATGGTTCTAGAGGTGTCTGAGAGTTCCTTTAGTCTGGGAAGAAAAGGATCTAAGTGATTAATTCTCAGCACCTGAGGACTGATGTCAATTCAACAACGGGAACAACTTCCCGTTGTAGCATTCAAAGGGTGAAATATGTTGAGCTTTTTTTCGTGCCGTACATAGCCAGCCATGCTTATCGGAGGTGCGCGGAAGCGGTGTGGGAAATATGTTATTTATACTGTAGATACCCAAAGTGTGGCATTGTGTACACAAGATTTGTGCACTTAGCACGCTGTGTAGGACGCATATCACCACACCGTGTATTAAATAAATAAACAGTCTTAATAGTGGCCGTGTTATAAAGAAGGTTCAGACGTGCATTTTCATTATACCATGTGCGATGCGAGGCATAGTGGTAGGTCCATTGCTACTATCACAATCTCACCTTGTCCTGTCTATGAAAACAATTCTGCATGCGGTTTTATTATCTCTCACATTTGTGTTTCCAACTTGCGTGCACTTTTACGTTAGGCGGTTTTACCATCACCGCACGGGGAAGCGTTACAACTTGCTGGGCTCCGTGTTACCGTGACACCGCATGCATGTGTGCATGCTCACGCACCTGGCAGGTAGAGTGCTGCGCGTCGCCGGCACACACCATGTTTCCCGTCACGAGAGAGCCCCACCATTGTCTCCTGCTACAGATGTCATAACTGATGACGGGCAGAGTGACCTGCTGCAAAACTCGTGGGAACGTCCCATTGGCTGAGAAAGACACAGCGGGGGGGTGGGAGGGCGGAGAACCAGATGAGTCGTGGTAGATGAAACTTCATATCGGCGGTGGGGAATCTACGCACCTTGGGCTGGATAGGGCAAGCAACTTGACGTCACGTGACTTGGAGGCCACATGAAGGCTGCCAATTTGAAACGGCCCGGTAAAATGACGTTCGTCCATCCATTGTAAGCTTCTTAATTCGTAACACTTTTTCAAACTTTAGCACCACGGTGGCTAGAAGATGTTAACTACCTCGCCTACTATGCAGGAGGACATGGGTTCGATTTCGACCCTGACGCCTGGTGCATATTTAGAGTTTGCATGTCTCTCTCTCTCCGTGGTCACGTGGGTTTTTCTCCGGGTCCTACGGTTCCCCCCCCCCCCCCACATTTAGAATCATGCGTTTAGAGTATCTGGCTGATATAAATGTCCACGTCATGAGCCGCTCTGTTGAGCTATAATTTGAGGCCAGGTCGTTTCTTAAAAAGAGCTACATAGCTCAGTGGGCCTCAACTGGTTAAATAAAAACAAAACAGTTGAATAGTTTTAATAGCTCAGATATTGTCTAAAAGTAGTTTTAAATACACCGCCAATGTCTACCACGCTCCTGTGATTCAAGTTTGGAGTTTACTAAAGTGTGGTAGCCCTGATAGGCTCACAGTGATGACATCCCCTTTAGGCTATTTAAGACCGGAAACAGGAAGACTTCCTCACAATTCTGGCAAAATCGCCCGATGAAGCTGGTTGTTATCGCTGTTGTTGTAATCACCAACAAAAACGCCACGGTACTCGAATTGTAAATATTGCTGTGGGTTTACTGTCCAACACACAACCGGTGTGCTAATATAGTAACTAATTGGCACGTTTTGTTAACGTGACAAAACCTTGCTAGTTGGCTGTGTCGGGCAGTGACGGGTTTAACGAAACATTAATATTTACGCGATGTAACCCGAAAAAAACCCTCTATTATGGATAAAATTGGTCGCAAAAGCCCCTGCTGAGTGGTAAACTGACTAACCTCATATTGGTCAAGAAAATAATGCGTCGACCCATGTCTACGTGCTAAATTGAGGTACAGGGACACCCCTACTTACAAACGAGTTAGGTTCTAGAGGTCTGTCCGTTAGTCAATTTGTTTGTAAGTTCAACTTTACTCTTGTTGATTCCAAACACGTTGTATGGGATGTACACTAAACACGGGGAATGGCTTTAAAAGTTGTATAATCTCCTGTAGACGTAGATGCCACTGGTTCTTCATGTTCTGCAGATATAGATGCCATTGGTTCTTCAGATTCTGCAAATGTAGATGCCACTGGTTTTTTTATCTTCTGCAGACGTAGATGCCACTGGTTCCTCATGTTTTGCAGACGTAGATGCTACCACTGCCATATATTGCCCGGTAGTTGAACTTACAACTCTCGGCGGCCTGAACAGCTGCAATGGGACACTGAGTAAACATGGCCCCGCGATAACCTCTTGATCACATCTCATGAGAGAAAGCCTTGTCCAACCCCCCCCCTCCCCTTTGGCCCTGCTGATGTTACCACCATTTACCGGATGGACACTGCAGGTTGTAGGGTGTGATGATGTTTTCCTTCACTCACTGTAAAGCTTCCCCCAACCGGTAGCGTAGCAAGACTGCCAATTCTGCAGGACCCAGTCAGCACCTGGCAGTGTAGCCACCTGTACAGTGTTGCTCAGTGACACTGGGGCAGCGAGCTTTATCAACGCGATGTCAAACCTGCAAAATAGTCAATGCGGTGGCATGCCATGCAATTACACATTTGGAATGTATCTATGTATGTACGTTTAACTTTTTCGCACCGTACGGAGCCAACCGTGCTAATCGGAGGGGAAGGACAACAAACTATTGGTATCTGTGTGAGTCTATGGGTCTCTGTGTGAGTCTATGGGTATTTGTGTGAGTCTGTGGGTCTCTGAGTGAGTCTATGGGTCTCTGTGTGAGTCTATGGGTCTCTGTGTGAGTCTATGGGTATTTGTGTGAGTCTGTGGGTCTCTGTGTGAGTCTGTGGGTCTCTGTGTGAGTCTATGGGTCTCTGTGTGAGTCTATGGGTATTTGTGTGAGTCTGTGGGTCTCTGAGTGAGTCTATGGGTCTCTGTGTGAGTCTATGCATGTTGAACTTCTTTCACACCATACGCATCCAACCGTGCTAATCGTAGGCGCGGGGGGAAGGACAGCAAACGAAAAACTGCCTGATGATGCTGTGTATTTCTAGTAGCAGGATGCCGTAACCAATGTGTAAATGTCGTGGATGGCTCTCCAGAATACCAGTGCGCTGAAGCAGTAAAGATGGGCACGTTTGCTCACGTAACAGCTCAATTGCTTCGCTGTGTTTGGTCGGGGAGAATATACGACAAGCGTTTTATGCGCACACCACGTGATCAACAATATCAACAATGAATTTTGGAAAGTGTTACATCGTCCATGCATATTTTCTTTCTTGTATTTCTCCCCACACCCCCCCCCCCACACACAATTGTATCCCAATTGTTAAATATGCTTTCTGCATTTTCAGATGCAAACATTCTTGTTTGTAAATGGCTGAGAGATGCCACGGTGGCGAGATGTAAAATTTCTCGCCTGGTACACAGGAGATCGTGGGTTCGATCCTGACCCTGTATATGTGGAGATTTCATGTCTGTCTCTCCGTGGTCGCGTGGATTTTTATCCGGGGTCCTCCGGTTTTTCCCTCCACATTTAGAATCAACTTCATGCGTTGAGAGTATCTGGCTGATATGAATATCCACATGATGATGATGAGACACTTTGTTAAACTATCATTTGTGATAGCCAGGTCACTGCATAAACATAGCTGCTTGGATCAGTGGACGTAAACATAGCTGCCTGGATCAGTGGACGTAAACATAGCTGCCTGGATCAGTGGGCGTTATCTGGTAAAAAAAAACAATAGTTTTTGTTTGTTTATTGATTAAGATATCATAACAAAAGCAGCGACACCACTCTGCCTTTGGATTCATGTTTAGTTCTTTTTTTGAAATCTCAGATCTGGAATAATCCAAATAAAGTGCAAACCCAAACTTGAGAAAATTAAGTGTGTGTGTGTATACAATCACTGGTGAGAAAAGCTGAGACCCCTCCCATCACTGGATTTTTTAAATCCAGTTTAATCACCGGTTGAAACCCAATAATTAAATCCAGGATCTTCACCCGACCAACTCTGAGTGTGACAGTTCTTACCCATGTTCTGGGAAGTCTGGATTCCATGAGGGGTGTGTGATGAAAAGGCTGATGGAGGATAATATTTCTCCAACTTCATTTGTTGTCAAGTTGTGCTTTCCCAGCCACACCTTGTATATCGTGTTGTTTCTTGAAGCATGGGAGGGAAATAGCGAGAGGGGGGGGGGAATGGTGAACATCATTGGAGATACAGGAGCAAGAGTGCTTGTGAATGGTGAAACATCATTCGAAATATTCATGATAATGTTTTTTTTTGGGGTTAGGTCGCGTAAGTATAAATGTGTCGTTGAACCCACCACCACCCGACACAGCCAATTAGTAAGGTGTGTCAGGTAAACAAAATGTGCCAATTCGTTACTAGTTCAGCACACTGGTTGCGTGTTGGAGAGTAAACCCAAAGCAACATTTACAATTCGAGTATCGTGACGTTTCGCTGGTAATCAGATCCAGCATCGTCGGGCAATTTTTCCAGAATTGTCGGGTGGTGGCGCGTTACTTGCACATTTATATTTACGCGATCTAATCCAAATAAGTAATGTTTAAAAATACTTTTTTTTTACAAACACGCTTTAATGAAATGTACCGTACTCGTAATGGCAGAACTCCACGACTCCAGGACGTGGCCCCGAAGCTTGCCATAACGTAAGGGGACCCGTGGTGATTTACAGCCAACGTCAGTTGAGCGTGGACAATTCGACCCAAGGCGAAACATAACATATAAAAAATAATGTTTAATGATAATGTTTAATGATAGAATATAGTATTGTCATCAGTATGACATAAGTATACCACATTGGGAAGTGGGTTAAAATTGAGTTACAAGATTTGAGGATACAACAACAGAGTGACTTAAATACAAGCGTGTAAAAAAAAACATTGTTACGAACAATATTCGTCGCAAAATGCCTACGTGTCAAACTGATCATTGTATATGCATAGAGAGAGGTTGTGATTGGTGAACATCATTGGAGGTAGAGAGAGGGTGTGAATGGTGAACATCATTAGAAATACTAGGGCGCAACTATGGTTTTGGGTATATGTGTGGGTGTGCGGGGAGCGGTAGTGTAGCGGTTAGCTCACTGCGCTACGAACCCGGCGACTCGAGTTTGATTTCCGCTCATGGCCAACACCGGTAACGATTATCTGAAATGGTCCTGGGCCTCTCCTAGGTCGACTCAGACTCAGATGAGTTCTTGGTGTGGTGTGTGTAGGAAACATCACCACTGGGAAGACAAAGGCGGTCGGGCGTGGTACTGGCCACCCACCCCCTCGTGTGCCGTTCTGGCCTTCATAGGTGCTCGCTAACAGCACTTGCCCCTACAGTCTATTACAACCTATTTGGGGGAATCTTTGTGTGTGCTGCGTGATGCTGCGCGTAGGGGCGCAGTTGGCCACAAGGGGGCCCAAAATCGATAGAGATAAACAAATAACAAAAATACTCTTTGGTTCTTTCGGTAAAGTCACGTAGGTATAAAATAAAATAAATCACGACGTTTCGGGCGCAACACAAGCGTCCGTCATCAGGTGGGAAAGCGTGGCCTGCTGCTGATGCAGACTGTTTTAAAGGTTTGAAATGGGTGTCGCCCCAGGGTTATAAAGGAGTGGCTGGGTCTAGTGATGTTAATGTGAGAAATTAGCATGTAACTGGGCACGTAGCTATGATAATGTACGAGATTAGCATGATGTTAAAGTGAGGAATTAGCATGTAACTGGGCACGGAATTGGCTATGTTAAAATGAGAGAATAGCATGAAATAACAGCTGACATAGGCAGGTAGGATGGAAACATCACAGTTAGTATGGCTTCCTGCAGTCACGAAAGCTGCAAATCAAGATGGAAGTGACAAAAGTGTTCAGAAAACTATTCAACAAAATCAAGTAAAAAAAAATAAGAATGAATGCCCAAAAAAAACCGTTGTTACAAATAGAAAACTATATTTTCTGAAAAATACACAGCGCAACATTTAGTAGCGCTATTCCTGGTGTTTTTACTGATACACCAGGCGTTGTTGATAACTGACGTGCGCATGAAAGCAAAATGGCACGATAACTTATTTGTGAGTTATTGTTACATTTAAATATTTTTTGTTATTAATAATAACAGTCACTTGTGGTGAGACTGTCTTCCTCTAAACCCCAATACACGGTATAACTAAAGTAATAATAATATGTAACATTTTATTGTGTACGGAGGTTAAACACAACCATAGTTATTTCACTGAAGGTGAGTCGGGAGATAGGATTCGGTGGTGGGGGAGGGCTCTTGAATGGTGAACATCATTGGCTGAATGTCCCCGCACCTAAACGCGACGTGGCATTCATGCGTAGGCCTGGTGTTGTAGTCTGCTTTGTCGGGATAAGATTTGTGAGCCAAGGCCTTTTCAGCAACATCCTTTGACATTATGAGACTTCCTTTGCCAGTAACAAGATATAGGAATAGGTTTTACCCTTTTATTGTGTACGGAGGTTAAACACAACCAGTTTTTGTTCCAGTTAAAAGGGTAAAACCTATTCCTATATCCTTTGACATGTACCATGCTCTAATTGAGATGTTAACTCCCTCGCCCGGTATACAGGAGGTCGTGGGTTCGATCCGGACCCTGACGATGCTGTATATTTGGAGTCTGCTTCTCTCTTCTCTCATCATCACATTGATCGTGAGATGTTAACTACCTCGCCCGGTATGCAGGAGGTCGTGGGTTCGATCCGGACCCTGATGATGCCTGCTGCTGTATATTTAGAGTCTGCGTCTCTCTCATCTTCACAGTGGCTAGGAGATGTTAACTACCTCGCCTGGTATATGCAGGAGGTCGTGGGTTCGATCCGGACCCTGATGATGCCTGCTGCTGTATATTTAGAGTCTGCGTCTCTCTCATCTTCACAGTGGCTAGGATATGTTAACTATCTCGCCTGGTATATGCAGGAGGTCGTGGGTTTGATCCCGACTCTAACGCCTGCTGTATATTTCCCGTGGTCGTGTGGATTTTTGTCCGGGTTCTCCGTTTTTTTCCTCCACATTTGGCAACATGCGCTTAGAGTACAGCATTTGGCTGTCGCTATAAACTTCCACGTGACAATACGCCACTTTGTTGAGCTATCCTTCGTGATGGCCAGGTCACTTTAAAAAAAAGAGCTACTCCATCGCAACTCACCCGCAAGACCCAAAGAATATATATTAAAAAGTATATATATTTTATATATACAGTAAATGTTCAGATTCTAATTCTGACAAGCGAACCTGTAGCAGTGCGCGGCCGTCATCACCCACTGGGCGTCTACGAGCGATCCCCCGCAGATGTGATACCAAAAATTCACGGAGTAGGCCAGCACAGACACCTGCATTCACACGGCCAGAGGCAGGCATGGAGGGGCGTGGCAGAGAGAGACACGTCAACATTCGTCACATTTCTTGTAATCTACAGGGGGGGCGGGTGAGAAAGTGGGTTAAGTGATTCAACGATGTTCTTGCTTAATTCAAAACTATAAACGCTGCGATATATCCGCTGCGATAATGAATTCAACGGCATCGGCATGATGAACCGAGTGCTACCTTCCCCACTCAGCCGGTATCTTTCACGGTCCTGTGGTTTTGGCAAAGCACTTACAGCACAACCTGCAATTGCCCCTGTATGCCCAGGGTTGATGTTCTCCTGGGCGCGTGTTCTCTGCTCTTGTCTGATGGACAGTAAAGCTACAACATTCACAAATCGAGTATAGCACGGTCTCAGAGTGCGCACGGGGGCTCAGAGTATGCGACCTGCTCATTCACGCTGACACTTTGTGTGACACGCACTTTCGCGACACGCACGGGGTGGGAAACGAGGAGTCAAATCGTCCCCCCCCCACCATCATGCGGACGTGGATTTGGCGGTGTGGAACTGTATCGCAAGTGCAAGAAACGAGTCCAAAACAATCTTCTTGCGGTGTTCTGACCCCGATGCTACTCGATGATTCGTGGATCATTTACTGTGCAGTGCTGCTGTACTTTATTAAACATTTATGTACATTTATATACAGTTTATATACACTCTTACATTGTATATATTACACTCGCATATGTGTAAAGTAGCATATAGTAATATTGTAGTATATATTAATACCCACATAAATAAGTGCACAACTTTATCTATATGTGATGAACGCTGCACTTTCCATCGTTTTCATGCAGGGGGCGCTGCAAACCCACGTGCCCCCTGCATGCATGAACGACGGAGGCACAGGGTCAGACGTTCGATTACATCGGAATTGTTCTGCAGACGGCGGTCTTCTTGCACGGCCAGCTCTATGTCGCCTTATTTAGATCCCGCAATCCCAAACAGGTGAAAGTCCGCATCGAACCGAACCCCCAGCAAGGCCATCTACTTAACGACGAGAGAAAATTCACACAAAATGTCGTATTCAATTAAGTCTTCCAATTCAAAAATGTTTCATTTAAAAAAAAACTTCAAAACGGGTGCTTGCGTGAATGCGTCGTTCGCGCGCAATTTTTTTTTTTAGTGACTTTCCTGACCGAAGGCCGTAAATGGTTGTTTAGGGGCATACTCTGCAATCTTGCTGTACTGTTGTGGGTTTAGTATATAATAGTAGTATATAGTAGTGTATATCTACACTCACAAAGGAGAACCCCAACTTACGCGAATTCGTGCTTGTGAGGATACACATTACCTAACCCCCGTTGCGTACTCTGCAACCTTGCTGTACTGTTGTGGGTTTACTCTCCAACACACCGATGGTGCTGAATTAGTAACTCTTTGCCACTTTTTGTTTATGTGACAAACCTTACTGATTGGGCTGTGGTGTCAGGTTGTGGTGGCGGGTTTAAAGATGCAACTTTTATATATTTAGGCAATATAACCCAGAAAATAAAAAAGACCACCCCTATTATGATAAGACGAAAAGAGCAAGGCGGAGACCAAGAGGGATGGACTTAGAAAGATGTGGTTTCAAGTAGTGAGCCAAGACATGAAGGATCGTGGAGTGGAGGTGGTGTGATAGTCGGCACAGTCGGGGGCACAGCAGCTGCATCTACCAGTCGTCTCAGTCAGTCAACCACATGGCACCTGCAGGGTCTGTCCTGTGACCTCCTGCACCTAGCCTGGCACAGCAGTCAACCCACGGTACCGGGGCTGTCCCATTACCTCCTGCACCGAGCCTGCCACAGCAGTCAACCAACAGGACCTGGGTCTGTCCCGTGACCTACTGCCAGCGGGGCGTTTGACACATCACGTGGCTTTAAAGTGCACCTCGCTTGGCACAAGGTGACATCACCAGCACTTAGTGGCGAATGGCGGTTGTTGTTGTGTGTGATGGCTCAGGACAGGAATGAGTGAAGGAAGAGGTGCAGGTGGGAAAACACCACGCAAGTTGGCGAAATATTTTAATAACAACAATAAGATGATGATGTTGTTGTTTCTGTTCTCTGTGTAGTGATGCCAACAAGAGTTCATGCTTAACTAAGAGCCTTCATTTTTGAACACAACGCTTATGCCTAGGCCCGGGCTTTGGTTCTCGATGCTTGAACTTTGCATTGTCTCAAACCGTCCCCTCCCCGCATGCTATCCTATTTTAATATCCTCTGAGCTCCCCTTTCTGGAAGCTTTACTCACCCCATTTCCCTTCAGCCAATCCCTGTCCTCCTCCAACGGTTGTCAACCGTCTCCCCGTACAGTGAACCCTCCTTTCCACGCCTTTTAAGTTTGAATTTCTCCTCCAATGCCTTTGATTCTCTCATCCTAACCAATTGCCTTTGGGGCCTCCTTGCACCAATCAGAGGCCTTGATTGACTTCCTAACTGTCCTTTTAACACACGTAGGCTTACTGTATGTCTTACCTGCCATGGCCACACATGAGGAGTGGCCTCCTGACCGTTCACAATGCGGCCCTGCGGTGCGAGAGGAGTCCCTTGGACGGCCGAGATGTACACTGCGGCATGCAGACAAACAAAGACAATGACAAAGATCCCCCGCATAGCCTGAACAGACTGTCGGGGCAAGTTTCGTTAGCGAGCAGCACCTATGAAGGCCGGCATGGCACACGAGGGAGTCGGGTGGCCAGCACCACGCCCGACCGCCTTTGTCACCCCAGTGGCGATGCTCACACACTGCGCCAGGTACTCATTTGAGGCCGAGTCGACCTAGGGGAGGCCCAGAACTGGTTTAGATGATCTTCACTGGTGTTGGTGGCCTTAGCGGGAATCGAACTCGGGTCGTGGCCGGGTTTTTCGCGCAGCGTAGCACGAACTGCAATACTACCGCTCCCCACCAAACAAACACAGACACACACACACAAGCCACATGGGTGGAGGTTGCGGCGGTGGGGGGCACGGGGAGGAGGGGGGAGGGAAACGGGCCACCTTTATTAATTTATTATCAGTATTTTACAATCACGATCACAATTTAATTAATTGCATGCACCCCGCGGTGATTCCTAATGTGAGGGACAAAGCGAACCCCCCTGCTCGCCTGCCTATGACGTCACAAACTCCGCCTGTGATGTCACAATGGGGAGGGGGGTGGACGTCACAAGCAGCATTCGCTGTTGCTCAATTTACTTGGGCGTCTACGATTCGTACTAAATGCTAGGTTTAGTGATATATGTTATGTATGTCGCTATTGTTAACTTTCAATCACATTTCTTATGATCACTGTTACAATCTTTCATAGCATTATTTTAGTAATGTCTAGAAAGGTTTAGTTTAGCCCGATTTTTTTTCATGTAGTTTAGAGTTGGACTTAATTTTTTTTAATCTAAATTGTATTATGATTGTCATTGTGATCTAAGATCAAAATTGATTTTTTTTTGCACAGTTTAGTACGCAGCATAAACAAATGGTGCTTTTTTCTGGAAGATTTTATTGTTTTTGTAGGGGATGTCTCAATTTGCGTACAGTAAATTTTAAATGTATCTTGTAATTTTATTGTTTGTTGCGGTTGCACCCGAATCAAGAGCCGAATGGCTCACAGGGTTATTCCAAATAAATTAAACTGAAACTTAAAATGTTAACTCGACTTGGATTTGCAAAAATCGATAACATTAATAAAAGGGGTTTTTATTTTAAGTGCGCTGATACTTCCATTGTCTTTGTGCTGTTCACCTTTCGAAATTCTCTGGTTTAACACTGATAGTGAGACAAGGGCATAAAGAAGGCTGTCTCTGGTGTACACCAATCGGTTTCAAACACAATGCATACATTATTATCAGAGCATGTTTTTCCCCAAGTGTGTTCGGTTTATTCAGACTTGATGCCTTGCAAAAGGTATCTATTTGGTGTCTGAACATATTAACACTGACTGTTCCACCTGAAGACGGAAGCTTGTGTTGCCTCCGAAACGTCGTGATTTAATTTAGTTGTTTTCATTTATTTTATTTTTATTTTACCTACGTGACTTTACCGAAAAAAACAAAGAGTAGGAATCTGACTTAGCATTGACAGAAAAAAATGTCCACATCTGATTCTTCTGCCACTTCAATGTCAGCCAAATGTAAATTTAACCTGATTGATAAATTCAACGTCATGTCTAATAAGAAACCAGATACACATGTTAAAAAGTTAGATGTGAACAAGATTCTTATCAATCAGCGTAACAGCCCAATTTCCGACAGCCTAAAATCGGTATTAGTTGAAGGGTTGAATTTTGCAGTCACCCCTAAACACATCCCAGTGGATGATATCATTGCCCAGGTCGATGTAGCCCTCAAAGGCTTAGGACACATCACGGCAGACATAGCAAGATCTGAAATTGCAGCTATCTCAAAAACGCTAAGAAACCCGTTAGCAACATCAGCAAGTACGAGCATTTTGAACTCGCTCAATTAAAAAAAGAGAGAATATTGTCATCGTCTCAACCGACAAGGGCAATGCCACTGTCATCATGACTAAAACCACATACAACAACAAAATTCAGGACCTTCTTATGGATGGTAGCTATTCCAAAATCCATAGAGATCCTACCAACTGCTTTGTTACGAAAACCAAAAATGTCATCACAAACTCGACTTCTCTAATCAAACCGACCAAACTGCTCTCTCTAAAACCTTCTGCTGCTAGACCACCCAGATTTTATGGCCTTCCACCATTAACTCACCCACCTACAAACTGGCATGATTTATGTCTGAGACCCTGCTTCCATTCACTGGCAAGAACACCTCAGGTGTACTAACTCAGCTCACTTGGTTTCTCTAATCAAAGACATGTCACTGTCTCCAGATGATTTGCTTGTCAGTTTCGATGTAGTCTCTCTGTTCACTAAGGTACCTGTGCCTGACACCATTGCAATCATTGACGACTTGGTCCAACAGGGACTGCATTCTGATGTGCCAACTTTGGTGAGGCACTGCCTTACCAATACTTGACCTGGAATGGTATATTCTACAAACAAGAGGAGGGTACCCCAATAGGTTCTCCCTTATCGCCAGTGGAAGCGAATGTTTTCATGGATAAATTTGAGACAGATGCCATCCAGACATCCACCCTACATCCTTCCTTGTGGAAGAGATGCATAGATGACACGTTCGTCATCTGGCCACATGGCTAGCCAGCACTAAACCAATTCTTCAACCACGTCAATTCCATACACCCAGCCATCAAATTCACCATGGAAGTGGAAAAGGATGGCAAGTTACCATTCCTGGATGTTTTGATCGAGAAGAGACCTGATGGCTCGTTGGGACATTCTGTCTACAGGAAAGCCACCCACACGGATGCCTATCTAAAGCCTGACTCCCACCACCATCCAGCCCAGAAGAATTCCCTCATCAAAACACTACACCATAGGGCCCATTGCATCTCCGACCAGCACCACCTAGCCAGTGAGCTGGAGCACGTACACCAAGCCCTCAGGATGAACGGATATTCTGACCGTACAATCCGCAAAGCTGTCTTCCCAGCCATGGGTAGACAACGTCTGAGGATCTAACCAATACCATCACTTTGCCATACATAGCAGGGGTTACCAAAAATATTTCCAAAATCCTAAACAAACACAAGATCCAGGTTCGTTTCAACAAAGTACACACAATCCGTGATTTGATCCCATCTGTAAAGGATGTGATTCCTGACATGCAATATCCTGGTATCTACAAACTAAGTTGTGGCTACGCCTGCAGTTACATTGGGGAAACAAAAGGACATATCTCGGACCATGTTCGCGAACACAAGGCAGATCTGAAGGACAGAACGGACCAATACCTCTGCCGTTGCTGATCATTGTTTTAACGCTGTGGGCACCCACGAAATAGATTTTCCAAGACGAAGGTACTCTGCAAACCCACTGGCTATCATCAGAGATGTGTTCATGAAGCCACCCAGATATATAAACACAGACACAACTTCAACCGAGAAGATGGGTACAAACTGAGCAATTATTGGAAGGACGTGATTAACCAGGTCAAGTCTTAACCTGCTGTGATGTTTCCTTCCTTCCTGCGATTTTAGCTGACTCTCTGAGTTGCATTATTAGGTTGGATGTCTTTGTATTGACAGGCTGGATGTCCTTCTCTCTCAGTCACCGATGCTGCGACATAGTAAGCAAGTCACTGATGCTGCGACATACTAAGCTCGTGCATTGACATGCCAATCTCTCACAATACAATAGCCACTTCTACAGCCTCAGGGAGACCATCTCTAGCCTTTGATAGTGGCATTGTCTTTGAGCTGTATGCCTTCTGGCGTCATCTGGTCGAGCACCAATTGGGTCGAGGCTCAAAAGAAAGCCGTCCCTTGGTGTGGACCAATCAGTTTCAAGGACAATGCATATATTATGATAGTGTTTTTTTTGCATTTTGACTGCAGGTATTGTGGTTAATGCAGACATGAATCCTTGTAAAAAGGTTTCAGTTTTGTTGCCAGAAAAAAGGGGAAAAACCCTATCATTACATTTTGGTACTGGCAAAGGAGGTCTAATGATGATGATTTATTTAATCTTTCGCAAAGAACTCAGGTTTATTGTTTACTATTATTAAACAAATTAGTTGGCAGATATTACAATAATAATGTTTGTGTGCAGATAAGAACTCAGGTTCATTGTTTACGATTATGAAACAAATACGTTGGCAAAGATTACAAGAATAATGTTTGTGGGCAGAAAGCTTATTTTCATTATTAGGTTGCTAAATATTCAATTTTTTTGCTGTCTATTTTGACGCTGCGACGGTGTACGGCCAGTCTGAGCTGTGGTCTGCTGCCTGCTCATTAATTAACGTCAGTGCACTGGCACTCTATTATCTACACTGATAATTTGGCTTTTAGCCATTATGAGTGTATGCCAGTCTATAATATGTTGCCTGCTTCTTTACCTCACTCAGTGTACTGCCACAGCCTTTCATGTCGACCGTATCCTGCTTTTTCAGCTGCTGCTCATATTGCCAGCTTTTTATGTCGACTGTACCAATGCTTATGCCATTGAGTCGGCGTCCTGGCAGTCTATCATCTAGACTGTAGCCTGCTTCTCAACTTACCCGTGCGTACTGCTGCTCTTCAATTTACACTTACTTCAGATTCTTTCTTCAATGCATTTCCATTGATTCGATTGCTGACGTCACGCTATTTACTGATACGTACTACTGCGATGCTGATAGCGATTCCATATGTGTGTGCGTGTAGGTCCATGCGTGTGTTTAAGTCCATGTGTGTGTGTTAGTTGATGTGTGTGCATGGCACCATCTGAGTGTGTAAATCAATGTGTGTTTGTGTGTCTATGTGTGTCAGTCGATGTGTGTGTGTACGTCGATGTGTTTGTGTGTCAGTCCATATGTGTGTGTGTTAGTCCACATGTGTGTGTGTGTAAGTCCATGTGCGTCACTGTGTGTGTGTAAGTCAATGCGTTTGTGTGAGTCGATGTGTATTAATCCATGTGTGTGTATCTAAAGTACATGTCTGTATGTGAGAGTCCACATTTGTATGTGTGTGTAGGGCAATGTGTGTGTGTAAGTCTATGTATGTGCATGGGTCCATGTGTGTGTAAGTCCATGTGTGTGTAAGTCCATGTGTGTGTGTCCTAGTCGATATGTGTGTGTAAGTACATATGTGTGTTCACGTCAATGTGTGTGTGTGTGAGTCGCTGTATGTGTGTACGTCGATATGTGTGTGTAACTCCATGTGTGTGTATCTAAAGTGGATGTCTATGCGTGTGTGAGTCCATACGTGTTTGTGTGTAAGTCGATGTGTTTGTGTGTGTGAGTCGATGTGTCTGTGTAACTCCATGTATGTGCGTCTAAAGTCGATGTCTGTCTGTGTGAGTTCATATTTGTGTGTGTGTGCGTCTAAGTCGATGTGTATCTACGTGTGTGGGTCGATGTATGTGTGTAAGTCAATGTGTGTGTGTCTGTCTTTGTCGCCCGGGCAACGCCGGGTACTTACCGCTAATCTCTTATAAAAGCCTGGCGTTGTCCGTTTGTCCGTCAACTAAATTATAAGATATTTTTTTCAGATGGCCAGCCCCTCCCAGATGTGGGGGGTAAAAAGTTGATCCAACAGGTTTCCGAAAATTGTCGACCCCTCCCAAAAAAAATCACTCCCCTCCCCGCCCCCCACCCAAAAAATAATTTTGTAGGCAGTTAGTATCTGCACACAATTGGGTGAGGAGAGAAGCAGACATCAGTGAGGGCGACGGGCGGGAGAAGCCCGCCACAGTCGTGCCGGTGCCCTCACACCTGATGATGACGATGCCTCATCGACAGCAGCATCCCCTCTGCAAATTAGTGAAGTACTGCACTGCAGTTAACCCGAGGGCGCGGAATGCACAGCAACGTGTTTAGTAAGTCCCCCTCCCTCTCGCCCGGAGCAACGTCTTGGGTTCGGGGAGAGGAGCCATCCCGTGTCTGAATTCAACGCAGGGAGTGCCTCAGCTATCGGCTCAGGACCAACTGGTCTGACCGCATGTCATCGTTTGGCTTCAAGGGAGCCCACCCCCCCGACCTATGATGACACTTAAACATGTTGGAGTTTCAATCGATTACGCTGAATACGTCGAATGGCCGTGCCCATATGACCAGAATCTTAAGCACACGTTGCAACTGCATCGAAGACTCATCATATATTCTTATAGAATAACTGGCGGGAAGTACCCGGCGATGCCCGAGGGAAAAATACATTTCAAAACTTATCTTAAAAACATAACATATACATACACAAATACTAAGCTATTGTGAAACGCCCATTTGTCCGTCAACAAAAAAATTATAAGAGGCTTGCAGAAGTCCAAAAGTTTTAGAAATTGGGGGGTAAATAGTTGATCTAAAAGGTTTCCGAAAATTGTCGACCCCCCCCCATAAAAAAAAATATTTTACCCCCACGTAGGCATATATACCTACACACCCTACATACAATAGAATGAGTAGTATCTATCCACTCTGTAGTTGTATCTACTGACTGTACAGTAGTATCTACTGAGCCAGTAGTAGCTACTGACTGTATAGTAGTATCTACTGACTGTTGTAGTAACTACTGACCATAGTAGTATCTACTGACTGTTGTAGTAACTACTGACCATAGTAGTATCTACTGACCCTACAGTAGTATCTACCAACTCTACAATAGTAACTACTAACTGTATAGTAGTATCTGCTGACTCTATAGTATTATCTACTGACTATAGTAGTAACTACTAGCTCCATAGTAGTATCTGCTGACTCTATAGTAGTATATGCAGACTCTATAGGAGTATCTGCAGACTCTATAGCAGTATCTGCTGACTATGGAAGTATATACTGACTCTATAGTCATATCTATCGATTCTGCAGCAGTATATACTGACTATAGTGGTATCTACTGACTGTAGTAGTATCTACTGACCGTAGTAGTATCTATTAACTATCCAGTAGTGTCTGCTCACTCTATAATATCTACTGACCGTAGTAATATCTACTGAATGTATAGTAGTATCTACCGACTGTAGCAGTATTTACTGATCATAGTGGTATTTACTGATTGTCGTAGTATCTACTGATCCCATAGTAGTATCTGCTGACTCTATAGTAATATCAACCAACTCTATAGTAGTAAATACTGACTCTACAGCAGTATTTAATGACTATAGTAGTATCTACTGAATGTATAGTAACTATTGACTGTATAGTAGTGTAATGAGTTCAACTGAGTCGCAGACGTAGACTTTGGAGGCAACACATTTATTCAGTTCCAACACACGTAATAACTTCCCCTTAGAATAACCTAAGGTGGTGACTACCCGGCTAACTGCACTAGTTACTACACTAGTTACTACAAAGTAACTACACTAGTTACTACACTAGTAACTTCACTAGTTACTACGTAACTGGTGTAGCTTGCCTGATGGTGGCAACCAGGCTAACTACACTAGTTACTACACTACACTAGTAACTACACTAGTTACTACACTAGTTACTACCAGGCTAACTTCACTAGTTACTACACTAGTTACTACACTAGTTACTACCAGGATAACTACACTAGTTACTACACTAGTTACTACACTAGTTACTACCAGGATAACTACACTAGTTACTACACTAGTTACTACACTAGTTACCATCAGGCTAACTACACTAGTTACTACACTAGTAACTTTACTAGTAACTTCACTAGTTACTACACTAGTTACTACCAGCCTAACTACACTAGTTACTACACTACACTAGTTACTACACTAGCTACTACACTAGTTACTACCAGGCTAACTACACTAGTAACTACACTAGTAACTACACTAGTTACTACCAGGCTAACTACACGAGTAACTTCACTACTAACTTCACTAGTTACTACACTAGTTACTACACTAGTAACTTCACTAGTAACTTCACTAGTTACTATGTAACTGCTACTACGGACCGGGACCAACGACCTCGGCCCTGGTCCACGTGTTGGAGACTCGTTGAACGGAGATCGTAGACGAAGGGTTTCTTCCAGTATGAACAACAACAACAACCCTGAGATCTTGATTTAAAGCTTTCGTGACTGCAGTCATTCATATTCTTAGCTCTTTCGGTAAAGTCACGTTGAAGGGTAACAATAAAATAATAAAATATATATAAAACAATAAAAATTCTCACGACGTTTCGACCATAACACAAACGGTCGTCATCAGGCGTGTCGGTTAGCATTAATTAATGTATTTACAAAACGGCGTTTTTATTTACTTATTAAAAAACGTCAGCGCCACGCGCAGCGATTTGGCAGTTTATTTAGAAGGACTAGTCCATCTATGTTCTGAAAAGAGGAGGGGGGAGACGAAAAATTAATGTATGCTGTCTGAAAGCCACTGTAAGCGTGAACAATCAATTATGACCTGAAATGGTTTATCAAATCTTTCCAATGATTGCTAAGCCAGAAAACATCTTCTCGGTTGAAATTGTCTCTGTGCTTGTATATGTGGATAGCCTCATGAACGAATCTCTCATGGTAGCCAGATGGCTTACAAAGAACCTCTGTCTTGGAAAAGTCAATGTCATGTGAGCCTACTGAATTATAACATGAGGCTATCCACATATACAAGCACAGATACAATTTCAACCGCGAAGATGGATTCTGGCTTAGCAATCATTGGAAAGATTTGATTAACTATTTCAGGTTTTAATTGATTGTTCACGCTTACAGTGGCTTTCAGACAGCATACATTAATTTTTCGTCTCCCCCCTCCTCTTTTCAGAACATAGATGGACTAGTCCTTCTAAATAAAATGCCAAATCGCTGCACGTGGCGCTGACGTTTTTATAAATAAATAAATACACCGTTTAAAATAAATACATTAATGCAAAACCGACACACCTGATGACGACCGTTTGTGTTATGGTCGAAACGTCGTGAGAATTTTTATTGTTATATATATTTTATTATTTTATTGTTTCCCTTCAACGTGACTTTACCGAAAGAGCTAAGAATAGTAATACATTGTTAATTTAACTACTTAAAAGTTGACGGATGTGAAATGCGAATAGCGCTGGCTCACCACTGAGCTTATCGCATGGTATCTGGGTACTTTTTGTAAACGTCAACCCCACAGTTTGTGAGTTAAATCCGTCGCAAGTTGCGTCCACAGACACACAGACAGACAAAAAATGAATTTTATAAGGTAAGACTAGCGGGAAGTACTCGACTTAGACACACAAACAGACATCGACCCACAAACACATCGACTTACACACACAGACATCGACCCATACACAGACATCTACTTAGACACACACACAGACATCGACCCACACACACAAACACATCGACTTACACACACACATATAGACTCACACACAGATTCACACACATGGAGTTACACACACAAATAGACGTACACACATACAGCGACTCACACACACACATACGTAGACTCTCACACACACATCGACCTAAGCACACATATGGGCTTACACACACACATGGACCCATGCAAAGACATGGACTTACACACACATACATAAACGCACACACATACAAATATGGACTCACACACACATACATGGACTTTAGATACACACACATGGAGTTACACACACATATCGACTCACACACACATTGACTTAAACAAAGACAAAGATCCCCCATATAGCCTTAACAGACTGTAGGGGCAAGTGCTGTTAGCGAGCACCTATGATGGCCGGAACGGTACACGAGGGGGTGAGTGGCCAGCACCACGCCCGACCGCCTTTGTCTCCCTAGTCGCGATGTTTACACACTGCACCAGGTACTAATTTGAGGCTGAGTCGACCTAGGGGAGGCCCTGGACCGGTTCAGATAATCGTCACTGGTGTTGGCCGTGAGCGGGAATCGAACCCGGGTGGCCAGGTTTATAGCGCAGCGCGCTAACCGCTACACTATCGCTCCCACACACACATATGAACTTAGACATAAGGACTAACACACACACATATGGACTAACACACACGCACATCGACAAACACACACACAGCGACTGACACACACAGCGACTGACACACACACATGGACTGACGCGCACACTTGGACCTACACAACAACAACCGCCATTCGCCACTAAGTGGCGGTGACGTCACCACGATGCTTGTGCCAGGCCATGTGCACCTTGAGGCCATGTGAAGTGTCGAACGCCCGCTGGCAGGAGGTCACGGAGCAAACCCAGGTGCCACGGGTCGACTGACTGAGATGACTGGCTGATGCACCACCTGTGCCCCCTACTGTGCCAACCTGCTGTGCTTTAGCCACTCGGCGCTCCGCTCGTTGTTGTGATCGTCGCTCCACCGCCCTCCGTTGTTGTTGGAGGCCACTGCCTCCAACTGCCCAGTAGCATCCTTCACGAGCCTCCTCCAGAGAGGCCGATCTTGACACCGCTGATACCAGTCATCGGCGTGTCCACTCAGCTCCACGTCCTCCTGTACCACATCACTCCATCTCTTCTCTAGCCCGTGCCACGCCCGTTTAGCCCCCTCGATCCGGCCGAACAAAAGCTGTTTCGGCATGCAGTGCCTGGGCATGCGGGCTATATGACCCAGCCAACGCAGCCTTGCCTGCCGGAGGAGCTCGCCGATGGGACATTGCCCAGATC